GGCTGACCTGACATTCTACTTTTCTATCTTCTATAAAAATCAAAGTGAGAGGGGCCGGCAAGTGGCATGGTGGTTAAAGGCGCTGGACTCCCACATGGTCAACCATGGTTCAAGTCTTGGACCTGGTGGCTTGCTTTCTCACTTCCTCTCTCTCTCTCTCTGTCTCTCTCTGATCAAACTGGAAAATAATAATGATAATAATAATAAATAAAGTTAAAATAATTCTTTAAAAAAAAATCAAAATGAGGGGCCATCAGTTAGCATAATGGCTATGTCGCTGGACTCCCATGTAGTCGACTGTGGTTCGTGTCCCAGACCCGGTGGTTTAAACTCATGCTGGGCACATTTGTGTGCATGCCTAAGATCCCGAGAGGAGAATGGATTGTGGTGTGGCCATTCCCCTTGGGAGGTGATGTCTCGCTTTCTATAGCCTTCTATCTCTCCATCTGTCTGGTGAGCGCACACACCCTATAGCAAAAACCTCTCCAAAAAAAAAAAAAAAATCAAAGTGAAAAAGGCTTATCCATGACCTCTGTGTACCATTAATTTATGAGTCTTTTGGGGAGAGATGATACATACTAAATTCAGTGCAATAGGAAATATGTTAAACTCGAATGAGGAAGACCATGTCTTGTCCTCATTCTGTCACTATTGGGCTGTCAGGACAGTCATGACACATTTTTGCCATATTTTTGCATAGGAAAATGTGTCATGACTTTCCTGATGACCTAATAGTTGTATGAATGTGTAAAAGTCGCTTATACCATAGGACACGGGTCTCATCACCTGTAAAATAAGGTTATACTGTATAATCTCTAAGGTCATTTCTAGGTGTCTGTTTGAAAATGACCCTGTGCCTCTGAGAAATTAGTCTGAATGCTTAAAAACTCCTAAGCATATATTGGAAATGCGTTTTCAATGCACTTTTTTTTCTGTGTAAAAGTAATAAGAGAAATCACACAATATGCTTTTCATTGGCTTAAACCCGCAATTGTCTCAGTCTTCGAATCCTCCTACCTCAAACTCTCTAATTTGATTTATGTTTTTTTAAGGCAGTAATAATAACATTTGCTTTCTAAATTAACCATATGTACTTTATTAGGAAACTAGATCAAAAATAAAATTGAATTCCATTCCACACACAATGAGTATCAATTATATTCAAAGTCCTTTTTTTTTTTTTGGAGAGGTTTTATTTATTTATTTTTTTGCTATATGGCGAGTGTGCTTGCCAGACAGACAGAGAGACAGAAAGTGAGAAATCACTCCCTGGGGTGATGGCCACACAGCAATCCCTTCTCCTTCATTCTCCTCTTGGGATTTTGGGCACGCACGCACATGCTCCTGGTGTGAGTTTAAGCCACCGTGTTCAGGACTTGAACAGCGATTGAGTACATGGGAGTCCAGTGACATAGCCATTATGCTAACTGCTGGTCCCTCGATTATATTCAAAGTCCTAAAAATAATTTAAAGACAAAATAAAAGGTCACTGGCCCTTAAGGAACTTACAGGAAGTAGAGAGAAAAAATTGCATTACAGTGTTTGTATAACAGAAAGGAAAAAAAGTCAGAAAGTGAACCGATATGGAAGATAGAAAGGAACTTTAAAAGAAAGGATGTAGAGGAGTGTTGGAAATCAGTAAGGAATTTTTCAGCCTAAGTAAACTATCAAGTAAAACCAAGGCAGGGAAGGTCTTCTATTCACATCCATCACACACAGGCAAGACTGGTTGGCAAGCGTGAAAGCCTAAGGGGAGACAGTTTGTAATCAGTCAGTAGGATTCTCTGAGACCCTTGGAAAAAGATCCCAACTCCAGCTCAGGTCTTTGCCTTCCAGGAGGAGGGAGGAACAGCTGACAAAAAAGCCTGCTGAGGGACCAGCAGTTGACGTAATGGCTATGTCGCTGGACTCCCACAGTCAATGGAGGTTTGAGTCCCAGACCTGGTGGCTTCAACTCATGCCCAGCCCGTGTGCGTGCCCAAGATCCTGAGAGGAGAATGGAGGAGAAGGGATTGCGGTGTGGCCATCCCCTCCGGGGGGGCGGGGGGGATTTCTCGCTTTCTGTCTCTTTCTGGTGAGCACATGCGCCCTATAGCAAAAACCTCTCCCCCAAAAAATAAATAAAATAAAAAAGCCTGCTGTAAAAGTCAAGCAACTGGAGACTAGAAGACCCAGGAAGCATCTCCCAGAACGAGAAACAAAAGAACAAAAGGTGAGACTTGAGTCAGAGAAATCTTTACAGTTTAAGCAGTCAGCCAAGGATCCTTTTCTTCTCCCTCCCTATCTATAAAATGGTCACAGGCAGAAATCCTTAGAAAGATGAAAGTGCAAAACTATCAGAGGAAGAGAAAAATGATTGCAATGAGGAAAATCTCCACCCATAGCATGGAATATTCCATTTTACACAGATTTCTCCTGAAGGTTGAAGAAGCAGTTATGAGCTATGCAGGAGATAAGAAGCCCATTCAGATTTGACAATCAGACAACAAACATAGCTATTAAATGCCAGGTATATATGAGGGGTTCTTCAACAAGTTCACGGGAAAATGGAATTAAAGTGAATTTATTTTGGTGCCAAAAAAAAAAAAAAATTGAAATCCATGAGCATTCTGTAGACCCTTTGTACTTGGTTTTCAAGTTTGGTTTTAATTAATTAATTAGTGGGAGGACGCATAGCCTTGCCAGAAAGAGTCAAAGAAACAGAGGGAGAGGAGAAAGCAACTCGTGGGCAGTGGTCATGTTGCAATCCCTTCTCCTCCATCTCTCCCTTCCCTCGGGACTTTGGGCACGTACACACATGTTACCCTGTCTTTTTTGTTGTTTTTCCAGATATTTTGCTATAGGGCACGTGCACTTGCCAGAGAGACAGAAAGCAAGAAATCACCCCCGGGGGGGATAGCCATGCCACAACCTTCTCTTCCATTCTTGCCTCGGGATTTTGGGTCTCGCCTCGGGTCTGAGGCTTGAACCTGGTCATCCATGTGGGAGTCTAGCGCCTCAACCATCGCTCCACCTGCTCACCCCACCTGAGTGTTTCTAAAGCCACCAGGTCCAGGACTCAAACCACACCACAGTCCACGCTGGATCTGCTGCCTGAATAAACAAGCCACCGAGTTGACCGTAAGCGAGGTTTCATTTATGAGAGAGGCAAGGTAGCATGAAAGTAGGGGAGTCAGAGAAGTCTGGGTTCAAAGCCAGCTCCTGCCACTTAATACTTCCGTGACTGTTCTCAAGTGACTGTCTACAAATATGAATTATAACCAATACACTTTTTGAACTGCTGTGGGCACTACATGAGTTAGTCCATAAAAACACTTTTATGGCACAGTGCCTATCACGTAGCATGGACCCAACAAATATTAGATATCATTACTAGCGAGTATACAAGTCATAAAATTAATTTTTCAAGTTTTTTTCCTAATTCATGATAACAGCATGTGCATGTGAGAGAGAGAGAGAGAGAGAGAGATCTCCACAGGGTCTGATCATGTCCTGATCTTCTTGCTCCCTCCAGTTCTCCGGGCTATCAGATCTAGGGTTCTTCTGGGGCATGTCTGGTGTGTTTTAGGCTAACCGAGCAGGGGAATCCAACCAAATCAGGATGGCCATACAGGATCTGGATTCCCTTGAGCAGTGTATTAGTGCTACATCACGAAGCCGGCCCTCTAAAATTATTTTTCCTTCCACTGTCATGCTTTATCACTTGAGAAAATGGCCAGAAAGTCTACTGGCTAGCAGGCAAAAACTAAAGTAGGAGTGAGAAAGCTACTAAAATAATTTATAGGTAGAACTTCAAAAACTAGTATTTTCTATAAATTTGCATAGTATGGTACTAGTGAGTAGAGATCATTGTAATTGGTTAAAAGAATTGCAATGGATATAAATGTTGGTATGTGAGACTGTTAATAAGGTGATTAAAAAAATGAGAAAAGGTGACATTTCGTGTATCTACTAAACATTTCACTATTTGAATAATTATATATTCTCCTGAAGAAAAAAGGAAGTAGAATGCCTATTCAAGTGGGGCCTTTGAGAACTTGGCTGTACAAACTCCTTCTCCCGTGAGTATCTGCCGCATATTTGAAATTCCCAGCCTTATATGCCCTCCTTTGGAATAAGGTTTAGAGTCCATGCAAGGGCCATTAAAATACAAATATGTCATCGTCTGGCAGATACCCACACATTTATTAGTTCTGATGTGTGAATAGTTAGCTGCCTCCCGGAGGCCTAGAACGAGGGGAGGAAGGGCCAATTGGGAGCTGACGCAGTGGGATCTGCCTTGGCCAGCTGCCCGGACTCTGCTGACCACCAGCTCTGCAGCCCGTCTGGCTGCAGACAAAGGCAGCCTAGGGAGGCCCCGCGATGGGGAGTGATCATGCTGAGGTTCCCGCTCTGTTCCAGAAGCCCGGTGCCCGTCACCTCGGCCCTTCCTAAAACCGACTGGCTCACGTCGGAAGGGTCAAGGCCAGATAACTGATGTACAACAAAGTTAATTCTCATCTTTTTCATCAAGGCAACCACCAGTTTCGAGCACATCTTGGCTGGAGAGGTGGCCAAATAGAGCTAAGCTCAAATGTCTTTTTTCTTCTCTTCGGCCCCGCCAGCTTAAATTCCAAGCAATTGTTGCGGGTGGGCCAATATGTATTATACAGTCTCTCCTTCCCTCTTCAAAGGCTCTTCAATTATAAATGCCACGCTAGAGCACCCCGGGGTCGTGCACAGGCAGGAAGTCTCGCCTCGCCCGTCCGGTCCCAAATCTGCCGGGCGACGCCTCTTCGGCTGGCGCGCTCTTTCCGAGCCTCCCGCACACAACG